AACAACACTGCATCTCTGGAATAATGCATGGTTGACAGGTTTAATTAGTGAGATCACAGAGCAGACCAGGCAAACATCTGTAATTATAACCTTGCTTTTCCAGGGTGTGCTCTGCAACCCAATACCAATAAAACAGCTTAACAAAGTCCACAGTTCGGAAATAGTCTTTCAAAATGCACACACACAAAATGATGGAGCCAATCAAAAAGTGTCTTCCTTGTAAGTACTATGCTTCATAATTAAAAGAAGCATAATAATGGGAAATTCTGTATTGATAAGATAAGAAGATGGTAATTATTACAATGGGTATAAAACAGGAGTCAAATGCCCTAATACAGGGATGATCAGAATATCTGAAAATTTAGACAAGAGTTAACACTACTGTTTTGACATCAGTGAACCAAAAATCCACTATACTATTAAAAGCTTATTGTTTTCATATCCAGAGTCATGACACCTGTCTCTGTACAGCACCATTGACTACCTGTGTTTTCTTGGTCAAGTTTCTACACCTCTCTGTATTTAGACTATGGGGTCTCTAAGAGCCTATAATTCAATTCAAACAGTAAAATGATTAGGCAAATGGCTGGGAGCAAAGTCAAGTTTTAGTATTTCTTGTCACTGCTCCACTGTCTCTACGGCTAACCTGAGCATCTTTCAGCTTACATGCACTAATTGAGGCAACGGAAAATGGTAACAGATTCAAAAAAGGAAAGGCAACAGGCATAACATTATCAGGGGAATTTCCATGCACGGTAACACAAATATGCTGTTTTGCTGACCATCCTGCCTGGGCAATTGTGAATGCACAGTCCAGACTGGGGCACCCAAAGGTGTCTCAGGACTCAAACTGAGGAAGACTTAAAGATGTAAAATGGGACAGTAGGCTTTGCTTGTAATTCAGCACACCAGTTGAGCCTGAATAAGACTGAGGATGGCAAGATTGTACAAGTCAGATGTAATAAAGATTTAAGAAATCCTTTTAAATGAGTTAAGTAATTGGCCACCAATAAGAACTAGGAAAGTTATTGCAATACTCAGCACTTAAGACAGAGACTACAAATAACTACACAGATTAATTCCTCAAAGCACCACTTCTTCATATTTAGAAGACGCTTGAGTATTAATAATCCCTGACTGACAGGTACTTTGAAGGTCAAGAAAGCATCAGAGGTAATATGCCAGATTCTTGCTCATGAAGAGTTACAGGAGAGTTATGAAAGACGACAAGAAGAGACTGCTAGATATAAGTAATTGGCAATGTGCAAGATGGAACAAGGAAATCAGGACCGACAATCTAATTTGGGTGGGAATCAAAAAAATAATAAGTGAATCTAAGTATAGTTTATATAATTTATAATGTCTTCCAAGCATGCATTTTTATGCTTTGGTAAATAACATTTACATGAACTTCAGAGCAGATCACTCTTGATTTTTCCTTTGGTCCAAAGGAGTGGTACTCACTCAGATTTTTATAAAGAAATTTTGATCCTAAAAAGTGAAGGGTGGCAGAAGATGCCGCCCTTAAAAATGTCACTCTAATATAAGGATTATTTGGAACTAAAGGCACTTGAAAAGCAGGGAGTCCAAGAAGGGCATTCTCCCCTCTTTTTTTCCAGAAGGCAGGAGATAAAACTTCCATGTGAGAGATGTCCTCCGTATATGGGAGGAAGGAAACATTCTTATCCACCAGAGATGGGGCGTTGAAGCTGAGAGAAGTCTGTACAAACAAACCTCGTTAAAATAACTCTTATCTTCCTTTAGTCCCCTCATATAGTTTAATTATTTTTCCACAATTGCTTCTCTTCATTCAACCTACTATAAAAATTGCAAAAAAAGGGCAAAAAAAAAAAATGACCACTTCTTTGGGTCTTCATTTGCCTTATGAGGGCTCTCATGTTACATAAAACTTATATTAAATAAATTTACATGCTTTTCTTCTATTAGTCTGTCTTACATCAATTTACTTCTCAGACCCAGGTGAAAACTCTAAGAGGGCAGAGGTAAAATTTTGCCTCCCTCCAAAATCAAATCACTTCAATGAATTCATGAAGATTACATCTAAATGGAGAAACTTTTTTTTAAGATTTAGCCTAAACCGGCCATTCAACCTACCTAGAAAATTCTATAGTTGCTAAAAAGCTTATAACAAGAAGTAAGCCAAATATTACTTCATCTATAATATGCATTAAAAGGAAGATCAGAAACATCTCTCGCTACATCTTATTTTAGTATGCATTTATTAAACTATCTTTAAAATTGTACCCAAGACTTCAATATTTTAGTATATTTCAGTTATGTTTTGAGTAGCAGTCTCAAAGCAGGTATGAATTAAGAGACAGAAATTGCCTAACACAAAAATTGTGTTAAACAGCATCTGCATTTTAAAGCTACATTCATTTGATACAATAAGAAAGGATTCATAAGGCCTGTACCCAAGAGTCACTATGGTTCTAAATTTGAAGAGTTTAGCTTAAACTGCTTGTCGACATTTACAGAAAACATTTGGACAACTCATGCCTGTTACACTTGCCAAAGTATGGCAGATCTTCAAGTATAGAGACACGACATAATTTCTTTACCACCCTTCCCATCTCTAAAGCAACAACAAAGTTAACTAGTAATAACACCACACCTGCAATTAGTCCCGTCAAGTGGCTGGTTCCACCTACGGTTTTGCAATCAAGGAATATTTCTGTCCTTTGAGAATTAAATATGATTCAAGTTTGCTACTACATAAGGGAAATATGTTTACCCATGGGGAAAACTTTTTGGAGTGGCCTTCAGTTTGCCTTCATCACATCATTCTTACTTAATTCAAATGGTATGAACTAGGATTCACTAGAAGTCCCAATATTCAAAGCAAACATAGTTAATGTTGTTGCTCCCAAAACCTTAAGTTAAAGCCAAGTTATTTTTGTCTCTCAATTTCTTTATATATTAAGACTTCATGTCCAAAAACTTCATTTATAAAATGAGCCTAATAATTTCCAAGTACCTCCTAACTTTCCTTCTAATCTTGTTAATTGCTGGTGTGTACTTGCTGAATGGTATATAACATCCAGGAATCCCTTTTGGGGATCTTAAAGTTCTGCCTTCCTTCCTAGCAAAGCTGAACCTTTGGATTTAGGCAAAAGTGCAAGGATATCCCATCCAGGCAGACATGGAATAGAGTCTGATAAAGACTGAATATGTCCCCTCCCTGGCTGTACAGGTCTGTTTAAGAAGCATAAAAAAAGAAGAGGTGATACCCAGGAAGAAAACTTAGTTATGATTTGCCTTCCCAAGTCTCCAAAAATAAGCATTTTTCCTTGAAGCTTAAATATACAACTGTGTCATAAAAATCTACTTATTCTTACTCATTGACCTGCCTGCAGGGGGACACAATCATAATTTAATAGCTACATTCCACATTATTTTACATGAAGACTAAGGCAAAAGCAACAACTCTCCCAGGCAGGGGTTTAAAATCATCTTCATAGAAACCCACAGCTACCCTGAAGATTCCTGGAGATGACTGGCACGTGGTAAAGCAACCTTCAGGATCCATGACTTGGTCAAGAAGCAACACTACTGTTCTAAGCGTTCTGTGAAACAGAAGGAAGTGTTTCGAAAGAAGCCTCTGGCTTCAAAAGATGACTTTTCAAACGAACTTTTGTCTTCTGTAACCAAAAAAAAAAAAAAAGAAAAAAGCTGAGCCCAAGGCTGATTATACCCTTTCTCTGAGGCACTGACGTACATAAATTTATTCTCATACAAGGTAGAAGTCTGTTCTTAAATAAATGAGCATACAGGTTATAATTCTTGAATACGTACTTTGTCATGTAATAAGCTGTTAATGAAAAGAGCACTACCCAGCAGACAGATCTGTGTCCCTCCCCGCCATCCCACTCTGCTACCAACTGGTAACTATACCTTCAGTTTATGCATCTGTAGGATGAAGGATGGTCTGTCTCTCCAACCCTGAACATGCACCCAAATGCTCTATTGCAGACCGAACTTCTTAACACTGATAATAACTGAACACGGTAACTTTTGGTACCACCTCCATATTTAAACTTTCCAAAAGTTATCTTTTTAAATGCCCACATTCCACTCACTGCATCAGCAGAGTTCAAGTTTTCATAAATTAGAACAAGGAGAATATGTACCCACTCAGAGAGGGGTATTATGCTCCAAATTGTCAACAGAAAGCAAACGCCAGGGAAAACAATATCTTGAGGGGGCGGGGGGGGGCGGGGGGGGGCTAGGTGTTGGTTTAGGGAGAGAGGAAGGAGCATGAGGTTGCAAGAGAAGCTTTCCCAAATCTCTACCTGGGTGGCCTGACTTAGAATGAGAGCATAGTATTTGAAGAACGAAGTTGCACCCCCAAAGCGGGGTCTCAGATCCAAAGTGGGTGAGGAAAAACATTCTGAAAAGGAACCCGGTTTCTTCTAGTCCTGGTTGTGTCATTAACGAGGAGTGTAGCTTTGGGTAAGTCTCTCCAACCCTCTGAACTTCAGTTCTCATCTGTGAAATGTTAAAGCTAAACGAGAGGAGCTGGCCTCCTCCCTCTCCCTCTCCCTGGTGCACGATGAGCTTGTGCATATTCAGAGTGCAAACTTCAGGACAAGGCCCCATGGCTTCCTCACCTCCAGCGCTGGAGCAAAGGGCCTCCTTTCCGTCTCTTAAAAATGAGGGCTTTCCGGAGACAGCAGAGGCATCTAACCGGGGTTGCTTGTTTATGCATTTACTTCTCTGGTCCTGCTTTTAGGTCCTTCCACTATACTGCCCGTTCTATTGTCCCGACCCCACTGGAGTCCACCCGACCACGTCCCGGGCCATGTCCCTCTTTCATTTAGTCTCTTTCTTCTAAACACACACAAGGCAGGCGAGTTCAGACGGAGCAGACAGCACGGCGAGAGGGGACGGAGAGGAGCCGGGGCGCCCCGGGCTCCCTCCCGACGGCTGGGACACGCGGGGACGCCCCCTCCCCGGGCTCCGCGAGGCCCCCCGCTTACCCGCGATGTCCCACAGCTGCAGGCGCACCAGCGTCCTGCTGTCCCAGTGGAGCACCTTGAGGGCGAAGTCCACCCCGATGGTGGCCCGGTAGTGCTGGGAGAAGAGCTGGTGCACGTAGCGCTTGATGATGCTGGTCTTGCCCACGCCGAGCTCGCCGATGACCAGCACCTTGAAGAGGTGCTCGCGGGTCTCGGGCCCGGCGGCCGCCCCGCGGCCGGGGTCCCCGGC